AGGGGGCGGGGAGAAGCGGTTTCGCAGCCTTCCAAGGCCCTCGCACCGGGTCCCTCCCTGAGGGGTTCCGCAGCCATTCCCCCGGTCGCTTGTACCCACATCCCTTCCCGCCCTCTTGGTGTCGCCCACTTAAAACACCGCCTGATCTGTCCCTGAGCTTATCTGCACATCCCTGTGTGTCTTGTCCTCGGGGCCTCGCTGATCCTCCTGTCCCTCTCCTTGTGTGCTGCCTGGCTCAGCAGCTGATGTGTTTTGTCCCACTCTGCTTTGGCCTAGAGGAGTACCATAAGAAGAAGGCTGTGAATCACTTGAGAGAAAACCTGCACTACATGCTGAAGGGACGATTTATTGCTAACAAAGCCACCACAGAACAAGTAAGACTGTCACTTCTTTCTCTGTCTGTTTGCTTCTGACAAGGAACACAGGTGAATGGGGATCATCCCCAAATTTTCCAGCTTAGTCCCTGTGGTCATTTTTTCATAGCATCTTGAATGATGTTTCTCATAACCAGTGGTCTTCCCCAAAAGATAGTTCCATGCCAGGATTTGAAGACAACAGCTGACACTACTAGAATCTTGGGCTATTTTTATGACATACAGGCTATTAACTTAAATAAGCCATGTGCTTTAAGCCAGTGTTTCTCAGGCTGGAGATTGTGAAAGAGATGATGAGGTACTATGAAATGCTGAGGGAATTCCACCAGCTTGTTGGGTTTTCAGGTTGTCTCGTGGAGAGACTGGATAAAAGGAGGTCATAGTTTCAGAAAGGTCTGAATTGAAATCTGGTCTTATCTGTATGACAGCTATCAAAGAGTATTTTTTATTTGCCTCCAAATACTAGGTTGGTGTTGGTGATTGTCCCAGTGACCCACTTTGGGTAACATCAGTGGTTGACTCTCAATTTTCTTTGCAGGGTGCTAGTAGAAGAGAAGGGATGCTGCAGATCAGCTTGAAAATCACCATCTTGTGGTTTGGTCTGGATAACACTGACTGTTCTTTCTCTTTTCACTGTCTGAAGGTCCTTGCACAGAACAGAGGCAGGATGTCCAAAGATCAGCCTCCAAAGAAGGCAGCAAAGAAGAAACCTGAGGGCACAGTCTTCACGGAGGAGGATTTCCGTAAATTTGAAAGAGAATATTTTGGGAGACCATGAACAATGTGAAAGGGCTTCGTGCAGCTCCAGTCCTTCTGCAGCTGAGTGCTCCACAGGCAGGACTGGGGATTCCCCTGGGGTGTTTGAGATGGGACACAGGAGATGTGCCTCTGTCATGCTTTCAGAGAAGCTCTGCACCCCGAACTTGCTGCTGGCCAGTTAGAGCCACGGAGGTTCTCTTGGCTCTGAGATGTGTTGTCCTTGTCATTATCTCCCTCCAGCCAACATGTCTTATGTTCCTGATATAGAAAGGTGGACTGAGCCAGATACAAATCTTGCTGCCCTTCCTCAGGGTGTGAGGCTTCTGCCACCTGTGTTCCTTGGCAAGGAGCATTTAAGTATTGTATTCAAATTAAAAAATGTTTTCAGGCAGCAGTAATAAATCATTAAAGGAAGGATCCTTTGAGAGACTGCTAAACCTGAGCAGCCCTGTGGTATCTGTTCTTATCACAGCCTCTCTCAGGTGTCAGTGCAAAAGCTTTTTATACATTGTTTGATTAAATAATTGTTGCAGATGCTGCCTCTCTTTGCCTTTGTAATAGTGATAGTGACAGGCTATGACTGATGAAGACAAACCATGTCTCTGTCCTGATCCAGGCTTCCCTCTCTCTAGGATGGCTCAGGTATGTGAATGGCCTCTCTGATTCATGTTGACACGTGTTTAATTTGCCCTCTGACACGCTCAGGCCTTCAAAGAGTGCAGATTGGAATGGAGATGACTCCTGTTTTGCCTGCTTGTGGTCTCTTTCCAAGGAAGAGCTCTCCCATGGAGAAAGTTGTCCTTTGGGTGCTTACCCCTGAGGTGCAGCCACTCTAGGAGGGCACTGCTGTGGGGGCTGCCAGCTCCTGGAGGCAGGAGGGGCTGTGACCCAGACGTCAGCCTCGGAGTGAAGGTACAAACTTCGGAGGCAGAGGTGGTGGTGCTTGCTGAGGGGAAGTTTTGTTTCCTATCGAACTGCTGCTGGATTCCCGGCTGCAACCAAGAGAAGGCCCAGCAGGTGGGAGTGTTGTCCCAGACACTGTTCAATCAGGCCAAGTGCACCTAGGTCGGGGTAATCCAGTGTGTTTGCTGGTCAGGCTGGTCAAGGAACCACCTCCACTGGTCAAGGAACACTTGAATCCAAGTGTTCAAGGTCAGGCTGGATGGGGCTTTGAGCAACCTGGTTTAGTGGAAGGTGTCCCTGCCCATGGCAGGGGGTTTGTAACTGGATGACCTTGAAGGGCCTTTCCAACCCAAACCATTCAGTGATTCTATGATTACAAGGGGCCTGACTGACCCAAGCAGCAGCTGCTGAGATGTCAGTGCTGGGGGGAATTTGGTATCCCTCCCCTGCCCTCTGATTATCATTCCTGATGCTTTCCTATTAAGTCTGTGCCTGCTCTTGTTCTTCCCCTCTTGTCTGCATAGGAATGAAGGTCACCTAAAGGTGTGAGGTCCAGACAGGGGAAATGGTGAACACACTGAAGTCTGTGTGTTGGGAATTGTGTAACAGCACGTGGGAGGGGATTTCTTGTAATAGGATCAGGTTCAACTATCTGCAGCCCAAAGTGGTAAATATAGAACAGTTCAAAGACCGGTTCCCTTCTTTTTCAGTTTGTTTTTTAAATTTTGCTCCCAAAATTTAAAAACATGTTTTAAAAAAAAAACCATAATTACTTTTTGCTTCTTAGAAGAATGGAAATGCTCTAGTTTGAAAAAGTAGTTGAGTGAAATATGCATGCAGCCCATCTAAAAACCTCTTCATTCTGTGCCTGCTGCTGGGTGAGTGACCTGGTCTAACACCTGCACCTCTGTGTGGAGCTCTCATGGACACAATTAACAGTGTGAAAAAGCTGGGCCTGCCACAACTGGAGTTTTGAAAGATTTCTGGGGTGTTATATTGTTTTGGGTCCTCATCTTCAGTATTTGGCAGTTCCTTTGACCTTACAGAGGTCTTTCACGTCACCCCTTGTGCCTTCTGTACCAGTTTCTCCTAGACACCCTTACTTCTGTGGTTGTTGAGCTCCTGGGCCTTTCTGTAGGCTGAAGGAAGCAAAACCACCCTTTGTTGCTCCAGAAAGGAGCAGAAGGGTAACACAGTTCACTCTCTTTGTACAAAACCCAGCTTGTTTGCCTGCAAATGCCAGCAAACAGGAAAACTCTTTGAGAGTTAATGAGGAACTTTAAAGCAGGCCCAGAGTTTTCCCCAAAGATAACACCACCTAGATCTGGGGAGTTTTACAGCTGGATGCAGCTCTTGTTACTGGCTGGAAAGACTATTGGGGCAAACACAAGTAACACACTTCTTTAGTGGCCCTGAGGTGCTGTACAGTGTAAGGGGGTAAAGCTTCCTGACAGACTGCACTTTGCCATCTGAACTCAAACTTGGTTCTACAGCCAGCAGTATCCTTACGTAAATTAAGCATCATTTTGTGGGAGGAAGGAAAAGCAAAGAGAAGTGAATGGGTGGGTCTAGATGAACCATCTTCTGCAGAGCAAAGATCTGACATGTTCTAGCCTTGATTTTCCCCCCTCTCTAGCAGAGAAGGAGCTCCCATGAAATAAGAACAGCAGTGCCACCCTTTAATCCTAGAATCACAGAATGTCTGGGCTGGAAGGGACCTCCACAGGTCATCTAGTCCAACCCCTCACAATAAGCAGGGACCCACACTGGGTAGAGAAGGACAGGAGGTGGCCCCTGAGGGAAATGTCTTCAAGTTAGAGGGAAGAATAGGTGCCAGCCTGTTTCATGTGCCATAGCTGCTTTTCCTAGTTGGCCTCCAACCTCTGAACAACCCTCAGACCTGCTGGACGCATTTCTGTCCTGCGTGGCTGCGAGTGAAGGTGCAGGGAGGTATCCTTCTCCTCCTCCTCCTCCTCCTCCTCCTCCTGCTGCCGCCTGAGCTCATCGGGCTGCTGGCTCTCTTCCCAGCTCTGCGACACCAGCTGAGCATCCTGCAGCAGAGAACAGAGGGAGCTGAGCTAAGGGGAGGAGGAGGAGGGTGGCATTAACAGCACATCCCCACCCATGCCCAGCAGGGAGTCAGAATGGGAGGTGGCAGAGGCAGCTTTAATAGAAATGCAAGTAAAAGCTCTGGAGCGTTATTAATGTGGGAGAACCTTTCCAGGGAAATGGTTTAGAGGAGGCAGAAGAGTTCCCAGATGCTCATTGTTGAGCTAGCTTGTGGTGAGTAAGATTCATCAAGCCAGTTAATGGGCTGTTGCTCCCTCTGTTACGGGACTGGAAAGCACACAGGAAAATTTGGGTAAGGTTATTGTAGAAAGGGGGCACAGCAGCAGCGCCCCAAATCACTCACAAAAGAGAATTTAGAGCAAAAGGGAGTTTCTCATTTTGAGAGAAGATGACCCATCAATTAAATTAAAAATGAGGAGTGTAAAGCAAGGCAGTCTGCCTCATGCCTGCTCAGAATCTGGAACTGCAGCCAAGGCAGGCTGGAGGGTTAGTAGGTTTGAGCTGGATTAAAGGTTTGCATGTCTATCCATAGTTCCATTAAACAGGATTAACAGTGCCCACCACTAACTGGTGAAGGCAGGGGAAATAAAAAGCACAAAGGTTGCTCTGGAGCTGCCCACAGGGTTACCTGCACCTTTTTCAGAACAAATTAACTGTTGGCTGGGGTAACGAGTAACCCAGCCAAGCTGTTCTGTCCAGAGCTGCACTGTTGAGTGCCAGCAAGATCATTTATCTCCTTTAATGGGAGGCAAAGCCTATGCCTCTTTCTCTGACTGCCCACGTGCTGCAGTGGAGCTGCAGGAGTTCCAGAGCAAGGAGATTTCTCTGCCCTATATAAATTAAGCTGACACATCTGCTGCCCTTAGAACTTGCTCCCTGCCATTTTTTGAAAGGTGTGTACATGTAAAAGAGAGGAAAAGAGCAGCTGAAGTAGAAATGAGAGGCAGCTAGCCATTACCTGGAGAGCATGCACCTATGTAATAGGGAAATCAGAGCTTGTGGGCAGAGCCACTTCATTCAGTGGCTGGTGACTCTGCATGAGTCTGCTGAAAATAACACAAAGACAGCATACCTGGGATACCTGAGCAGCCAAAACAGTGCTGCCTAGGTCAGGGGACTGAACTCCTCTCTGAACTCACAAGGCCAAACTTGTGGGCCTGAAGCATTTCGATGGCAAAGTGAGCAAAGAAGAGGGGTTTTTGGCCCAGCAAAGGATGCTCAGAGTAAGACCCTAAGGCTGTCTTTGCACTGGAAATGATACATAACAGAAGGGTGTGTGCTGGACTACACAGCACGGCTGTGAATACAGCAGGACAGAGGAAGGCAGGTTGTCTCCTGAAGCTGCTTGAACCATACTGAGAAAAAAAATGAGTATGCATAAGATGGAAATTACACATATCACAAGGACAATATAGATCCTATTGTTTCTGAAGGCCTAAGTCTATAGGAAAATAAAGAAAACTGGCCTTATTCTGGCCAAAAATGTATAGAGTCTATAAAAATATATATAAAGTAGGCTTATATAAAAAAGCTTTCTAAATTAGAAACCCATTTAGGAAGTGGAGAAGGGTGGCTACACAACAGTGAGGTTGGAAGAAGGGACATCTCCAAACAGAGAGAGCGCATAGATATGCCAAGAACAGAAGCTGAACCATACTTAGAAAAGAAAAAAGATGAGGCAATACTTAACAAAGCTGTGGGAAATGTGGGCAAGACAAGGAAGGTATTTTTTTCAAGAGGCATGTGACTCCTCTCTGGAGACAACAAGGCTTTGGGGCTGGGGGAGAGGGGACTGTGACAGGCTGACCACTGCATGAAATGGTTTCAAGCAGAACAACTCAACGTTTTTCTATCTATCAGTCCAGCTCAGCAGCACTGGGGGAACATTCATCTCCCAAAGGGCAGCCTGTCCTTGCAGCTATTTCTGGGCTTCCTGCCAGGGCAAAAGCTATTTGGAAGATTTTATCATCGTTCTTTCTTCGCTCTCCAAAGCTGCAGCTGGGGGGGTTTATTTTTACAAGCATGCTGCAGAGGTGCCTCTGGTTC